TCAAAAATGAATTGGAGGATTATTTAAGCAGAAACAATGTGCAGGATAAAAGACACCTTTTTAAAATGCGATTTGTTTTAGAGTAGATCTTCTGATCTAATTATTTAAAAAGATAGCTTCTCCACTAAATCAAATCATGTATCAAAACTCATAAATAGGGTATGTTCTGCTGTTTTAAGTATTCCATTACAAAAACATTAAATCTAAAGTGTAAAGTTTCTTGACAGAGATAGGAAACTACAATTAGATTGAAAGTCTTGAGACACTGCAACTGCAGAGAAGGATTAGAGGAGATTTAATAATGGTTTTGATTGAGTGAACATAGAAAAAGAAAATCTCCTTTGGTTGGGGAATTGATGACAAGGTGTCATCAACTTAAAAGTGTCATTAAGAGTGTGACACATAAGAGACCATTGAATTTTTAAAGAAAAGGAACTGGATAAATATTTGAAGCGTTGGAATACATCAGAGTGTGGAAATGGGGAGAATGAAATTTGTTTTAGATTGCCTCATAAATGAGACAAAAGGACAAAGGACTTCCTTTCCTGTTGCAAACTTCTGTTGTTCTAAGTATATCTTAGAAAATCCTTTGATAATGATCTCTTAAGGGATCCAGACTAATTGGATAATTTTATGTAAAGATGTTCTCAGCTGAGTTCAATAATGTAAAAATCACTATTGTATTAGCAACGCACCACGTATAATCTACAGTTTAACTGTTATTTCTCTGATATAGTATTGATTCTCGACACATTAAAATATCCTGTTTGCTTACTGTGTCACTATTGGGGATTCTTCTTTAGTAATGTCTACACACTAGGACAGATTATATAATTCCAGTAGATAACATAGAAATCATAGAGTCATAGAGGTCTCCCTCACAGAAAAAGGCCCTTCACCCATTGACTCGGTGTTGGTCAAAAACAAGCACCCAACTATTCTAAACCCATTTACCAGCACTTGGTCCATAGCTTTGTATGCCTTAGGATTGCAAGTGCATATCTAAATATTTCTTAAAATATTGGAATTTTAAAAACCAGTACTAATTTCATGCAGCCCAGTATGAAGCTCTCTCATCAGGCATTGTTATCATATCATTTTCATGTGCATTATGGGTGAGATTCCTACCAACTTTACAGCAAATTTGATTAAATTTAATTTCTAAAGACAAGACCAGAACATTTGAATAGTATCAATTAGGATTGACTGGAGTTCTTTTTCATGGAAAGAAAAAAGGCAGAGGAGTGATCTGAAAGAGGTTAAGATTATGCAATAGCTTGACAAGGCAGTCTCTCTGCCTCATTACATTAATGTGTAATGAGGCAGGTTTAACAGATGACCTCACAGTAAGGAATTGCCTTGGGAACATGACCACAACATGGTAGCATTCAGTTTAAAAGTGAACAGCTTGGGTCAGGAACAACCGTGCTGAACTTAAATAAGGATAATCACATGGGAATGAGGGCAAAATTGACTGCAGTGGGCTGAGAAAGGAGTTTAGCAGAAGAGATGGAACAATGGCAGATATTTAAAATAGTTTAGTTTATGTCTTACAGCAAAGATATATCCCAGTGAGGAAGAAGGATAAACCATCCGTGGATAAGCAGGGAAGTATGAAATTGAAAGAAAAAAAAATTGTGTGGTAAGCATTAAAAGTAAATTGGGTGACTGGGAAAGTTTTGAAAGCCAACAAAAATTATGCAAAAAATAAAGAAGGAGAAGATAAACCTGAGAGCAAACAAACCAATAACATAAAAACAGATAATAAGAGCTTTATTTTTATATCAAGAATGAAAGAGGCAACAGTAAACATAGGCTTCTTCGATAATAAGACTGACGAAATAACAATATGGATGCGGTAAATGAAGGATGAGTTGAATAAATACTTTGCATCAATCTTCATGGTAAAGCACTCCAACAGCATTCAAAAATACCAAATAATCAAAAGGCTAGAGGTGGGCTAGGGAGGGAAGTGGTGGAAGGAAATGTGTACACAATAATTATTACTTGAGAAAATGTACTAGGGAAACTCATGAGACAGAAGGCTGATAAGTCTGCTAGGATTTTAAAGTAAGAGGTAGTGAATGCACTGGTTGCAAAATTCCAAAAATCTTTAGATTCTGGAAAAGTCCCAAAGTGTCTGGAAAACTGCCAGTCTAACACCCTTATTTACAGGGGAGGGAAACAAAAATAGGTAACAATAGACTAGTTAACATTTGTCATTGAAAAATGTTAAATGGTGTAATAGCACAGCATTCAGAAAAAAAAATTATAATCAAGGACAGTCAGCATGGCTTCATAAAGGAGAAATCATGCCTGACAAATTTACATGTTCTTTGAAGAGGTAACAAGCAGGGTAGACAAGGGGAACCAGTAGATTTGATACATTTGGATCTCAGAAAGGCATTTGATAAGGTACTGCAAATGATGCTACTTAGTAAGAGTAATAAGAGTGGTATCTTAGAACGAGTAGAGCTTAGGCTAACTAACAGAAGACAGAGGATTGGGATAAAGGGGGCATTGACACTCAATATACATTAATCATTTAGATGAGGGAACTAACTGCATTATTTCCAATCCTTGCAGATGACCTAAAACTAGGTAGGAGGGTGAACTGTGAGGAAGATGCAGAGATACTTCAGTGTGATTTGGACAGGCTGAGCGAGTGGGCAAATCTATGGCAGATGACGTATAATGCAGATAATTGTGACATTATCTACTTTGGTAACAAAAACATGAAGGTCGATTATCTGAATGATGATAGATTAGAAAAAGGGGAGATGCAACGAGGCCTGGGTGTACTTGTACACCTGTTGCTGAAAAGAAGCATGCAGGTGCAGCATAAAGTGAAGACAACAATGGTATATTGACTTTCATAGCGAAAGGATTCTAGTACAGGAGCACAGATGCCTTACTGCAATTCTACAAGGCGTTAGTGAGACCACACCTAGGGTGTGCAGTTTTAGTTTTCTTATCTGAGGAACAATGATCTGGCTATGGAGGGACTATGACAAAGATTTACCAGACCAATTCCTGAGATGGCAGGACAAACGAATGAAGACAGAGACTGGATTGATTAGGACTATATTCACTGGAGTTTAGAAGAATGAGGATGGGATCTCAGAAACCTGTGAAATTCCAACAGGATTAGACAGGGTAAATACAGGAAGCTTGTTCCTGATGACCGGAGAGTCCAAAACGAGGGGTCACAGCCAAAGAATAGAACACTGAGATAAGGAGAAATTTCTTCACAGCAAGTGAGGAGCCTGTGGAATTCATTACCACAGAAAGTAGTTGAAGCCTAAATATTGAAAGTTTTCCAGGAGTTAAGTATATTTCTTTGGGCTAAAGGGATCAAAGGTTATAGAGAAAAAGTGGGAACAGGGTATTGTGTTGGATGAACAGATTGAATGGCAGGGCAGGTTCGAATGGCTGAATGGCCTACTTCTGTGCCTGTTTTCTATGTTTCTATGGAACTAGTGGACTGCCACAGGGATCAGTGTTGGAGCCACAATTATTTACAGTATATATTAATAACTTGCACGACAAAAGTTAAACTATTATCGTTAAGTCTATGGTCAAAAAAAAGGTGGGAAAGTAAGTAATGAGGATGACAGATGATGTCTACAAAGGGATATAGACAGGTTAAGTGACTGAGGAAAAAGATTTGGCAGATGAAACATAGTGTGGAAAGTGTGAAGTTAAGGACTTTTGCATGAAGAATAGGTGAATATTATGTAACAGAAGAATAGAATAACCAAGTATTTAAACTGGGAAAGACTGCAGAAAGCAGCAGTTCAGAGGTATTTGGGGTTCCTAGTGTATAAATCACAAAAAGCTAGCATCTAAGTTCAGTGGGTAATAGGAAAGCAAATGTAATGTTGGTCCTTATTTCAAAGGGAATGAAGTATAAAAAAAAGACTAGTCAGATCATGGCTGGAATACTGTGGATTATTTTGGGCCCCTAATCTAAAAGGGAAAGATACACTGGCATTGGAGGCAGTCCAGAGAACTTTCACTAGGCTGATCCCAGGCATAGAGGGATTTTCTTATAAGGAACGGTTGAGTAGGTTGGGTCCGTACTCATTGGAATACAGAAGTATGACAGGAGATCGGATTGAAACATACAGGATTCTTATGGGGCTTGACAAGTTAGATGTGGAGAAGCTGTTTCCCTTTGGGGCATACTGTAAGGCCAGACGACATAAACTCAGAGTAAGGGGCTTTCTCTTTAAGACAGAGGAGGAACTTTTTCTTTCAGAGGGTAGCGAATCTGTGGAATTCTTTATCTCACAAGGCAGTTAAGGCTGGACTTTTAAATATATTCAAGGCTGAGATAGAAAAATTTAGAATCACTAAAAGAATCAAAGGTAATGGGGATACGACAGGAAAGTGGGAATTGAGGATTATCAGATCAGCCATGATTTCATTAAGTTTGATCCATGATTCATTGTGTCGAATGAGCTGGACATGATCATAATGAATGGAGTAGACTTGAGGTGTCAAATGGCCTACCCTTGGTCTTATCATTTGTGTTTCTATGCAAATCTGCTGCTGTGTTTTGTGGTCTTAAGGGAGAGAGCTGAACTAGCAGCCGTAAATACACAATAGTACCTAATAAAAATTCAACAGGAGCATCTTAACCAGAGGGTAATGGGAACATAAAATCTGCAATCATGAGAAAAAGGTAGTTGCTATAAATGGCATCGATGTATTTAAAGGGAAAACTGGATAAATAGATGACGGTGGAATGAATAGAAATGTCATACAAACGATAAGGTTAGATGGAAAGGATTAGAAGGTGGCTTGTGTGGAGGATAAGTAACAGCACAATCCATTTGAGCCAAATGACCTATTTCTGTGTTGTTAGCTACGTAAATGCTCCATGGCAAATGTAAATTCAATGTTAACGTCAATAACAATGAAGCAAATCCACGAGAAACCTTGTGACACCACCAACTCAAAGCTGACATTGTGTCAGGGCCACAAACTGGAAGCATACAAGTCTCCAACATAATTTTTATTTTTAGGCAGTTCAGCAAAATGAATCGTCTTAACGAAGAGTTAAGTATATGGCCTATTCTGAGGATAGTCATCAGGAATTGTAAAATATCTTAAAATTTGCCAAATAGTTCAACAAAAGAAATCCCACGGTCAAATAGAGCTATCTGTAATTTAAACAATGTAGCAACAGTTAGCAGCCAAATCACATGATTTTTTTTCTGAAAATTGACTGTATAGTGTTCAAGAGTGAAATATCTTTCAAAGTTCAGATTATTTTCAAAGCTTGATCTTGTATAAATTGTTTATAGTACAGGTACTTATCGTAGGTTCCTTGTCTGCTGAGAATGTAAATTCGATGCAAATTTTTTGAAGCATTTCAGTTTTGTTTTGTTTCAGTTTTTGGATTATTTCCATGCTCCCCTGACCAATTAGATTGCTTCATGTGAACCACAATTTATGTTTGGGAAGGTAAATGGTTAGAATTCAATCTCCTAAAAAAGATCTGCTGCTTCCTCAAATATTTCAGGCAATCCTCATCAACATCATGTTAATGTAGAATAATGGTAAGTGGTTATGTGTTACTTTTGACAGTCCTTGGTGTGAGGTGTTGTGGGTTATTACAAATATACAGTTATGATTATAATTTGGTAACAATTTCTAGGTTGCTGAGTGACATTCAACGCTGAAACAACTGTTCAGCTTGTTCATGCTAAATCTTGCCAGCATTCAACACAATGTAAATTTGTCTCACTGGTGCCTTATAAGTTAGATTTAAATAAACATACCTAGAAATTATACTTAAGTATTTGGCCTCTTGTCCGGAAGGTTGTAAGTTGCTACATTCTCAAAAAAATGATTGTATTCATAAGTATGAATTCTAAACATCAGATTTGCTACTCAAATTTCTTTCCCTGCAAAAAGAAAATGCACCATGTTCCACAAATGAAAGTTGTTTCTCATATCTGCTTTTCAACTGCTTTTTAGTTTTCTCTTGGTTCTGAAGAGAGACTTGAAAATAAGTTCTCATTTTCTTGTGAAATAATGTTCATCGGTGGTTTAGGTTTAACCATAATCTGTAATCTTCTCTGGTCTCTTTGCTGTTCTTGCTTTAACTCCACATATGAGCGAGAGAAAGTGTGAAAGATGGAGGTTACAGGGAAGGCCATGAGAAGGATGCCACTTAAAATACTGCTTAGTGCCACCACTTGGCCTGGGATGCTTCGAGGCACCATATCTCCATAGCCAACTGTCGTCATGGTGATAACAGCCCACCAGTAACATGCTGGTATGCTTGTGAACTCATGCGAACTAGACATTTCATTCTCAATAAGATAAAGCAATGGGGCAAAGAGTGCAATGGCCACACACAAGAATAAAAGAAGGAGACCAAATTCACGGGTACACCTGCGCGCTGTTAGCCCCAGTGTCTGTAGTCCCAGGGAGTGCCTGGCAAGGCGCATGACATACAAAATCCTCAAGGCACGGAGGACTCGCAGAACCAGGCCCACCTTGTCAATGTAACTGCTTCCTCCTCCAGGTTTTCCATTTTCCACTGATGTGGTGTCCACCAGAAGCGTAATGTAATAGGGTAAGATGGCTACAATGTCAATGATATTGAGTGGAGTCCTCAGGAAGACAAATTTGCTGCGAGCCTGAATGAATCGTAACATAAACTCCAGCGAAAACCAGCCTACACAGACAGTTTCCACAATGAAAATATTGTAGCACTTCTGTGAGCATACACCCTGCAGATTAAAGAAAAAAGTAAAGATCAATAAATAAATGACTGTTTTCAAAAGTTCTTTTTACATTTGAGATCTCGTCATACTTTACATTATTTTTGCTAAATTCTTCAGGAACTACAGATGTTTCTTTATTGGGTAAATATAATTGTTTTTCCACTGTTAGTTGTAATAGTATGCATATTTATCTGGTGGTCACTTTCTATTCTTTTGCTCTTTAGCTTTTTGAAAATGCTTATTCCTCTTGTGGTATGTCACCTACCTTTACTGTCACTTACTCGTAAAGTCATTTTTCATGTGTTAATAGTAACAGAATATATTGTTGTAGGAGAAGCCTTCACAGCTAAGTCTAATCCGATCATCACTTAAAAGCTAAAACTGCTATACTTCCCAAATTATTTCAACTTCCATCCCATTCTGATGGATTAAGTAGATGTCCGCGTCATAGCAAAATGTAACAACTGTACTCTAAAGCAAACACGTTAAATCGAGATTGAATTAAATTCCTTATCATTGGTGAAACTAGTCTAAATGTTCTTGTGAACATCAACTGCAGTGTTTATCAAAAGAGGTGAAAATCTCAACCATATTCTCTCTCTCTTTAGCATATTTTCTTTTCGATAATATGTTTCATGACAGTAATTCTATAATACTAATATCTACATCATTAGTAACATGTCATTCTCTTGTCTCTTTGTTGCTCATTTGTCTATTTGTTACCTGTATTTTTAATGCTCTTTTAATCCAACAGTGCCATTAAAAACAAATATAGAATTTTCTAATATTATTTAGAACATGAGGGCTAAGTGCAGGAGTAGGTGATTCAGCCCTTCAAGCCTGTTCTGCCATTCAATACAATCATGACTGATCTCACCACAACCTCAATTCCACTTTCCCACCGACTCCCCATAACCCTTCAATCCACTACTAATTAAAAATCTGTCTAACTCCTCCTTTAATTTACCCCATGTCCTGGTTCAGGTAGTGAATGCCTTGGATATACCGCTATGAGAAGGAGAAGAAAAAAAATAGATAAGCAATAAAACAAACGGATATGAGAGTGAGGAGAGGTAACCAGGGTTTGTTAAATAGTTGAAAAGATACATTTTTTACAAAAGGACTTTTAAAAGGTGGAAGGATTTATTCTTGGCATTGATGGTTATTAAATGAGCCTATACAAAAAATCTATGCTGCCCTTGATATATACTTTTTATTCATTTTTTCTCATGTTCCTCTTATTCTTGCTAATTTCACTTTCAATGTGTTCTTTTGTTGTGCTTAGCTTTCATTTTATGTTCTGCCTGATAAGCATTAAAATGTTTATTTATTAATTTAAAAATTCTCAACTATATACACCTGATGTTTCATATAATAAGGCCTTATTTGAATATCTGAACTTGATGCTTTGGTTGAGAAGACACAGTAAAATAAACTCCTTTCTTTTACCGCAAACATTTTTTCTATCCTAATCCAGTCTTTAATAATCAAAATCTCCTTCATTCATAAGCATATACTATTAAGTAGCTCTCTAAATGGGATGGAGATTTCACTCAACTTCTATTCCAATGTAAAATTCTATTTGGGTGATTGCTCCATTTCAGTCCTTATGACTTCTGCAACACAAATCATATGTTTTTTTCAACCAAATTTTGAATATTACCGACAATTGCAAAAATTAAATAGATCGACAGGTTTCAGAACCTATCAGACTTATAAATATTAGAAAAAAGTAGCTTTTTAACTAAAATACTAAAAACGTACTTTTTGGATTCCAGCCTCGGGCCACTGTCTGTGTGGAGTTTGCACATTCTCCTTGTGTCTGCATGGGTTTCCTCCGGGTGCTCCGGTTTCCTCCCACAGTCCAAAGATGTACAGGCTAGGTGGATTGGCAATGTTAAATTGCCGGTAGTGTTCAGGGATGTGTAGATTAGTTGGGTTATAGGGGGATGGGTTTGGGTGGGTGCTCTGAGGGTTGGTGTGGACTTGTTGGGCTGCAGAGCCTGTTTCCACACTGTAGGAGTCCTATGATTTATGATCTATGATATAGTGAAGCTTATGATCACAGGGTTTAAATGAAAACCTTTCAACAACATTTAAATACTTTAGTCTGTGAATATCAGCACAGTTCAGCAAAATGCCAACATATGGTAGTGGAATTGTCCAGAAATTCAAAAACTGTACTTCTAGGTTTCTCCACACATAAAGCTTATAGGGTAATCTTTCACCTTCACTACTCAGGTGGTGATATTATTATTCACGTATCTGCTGAACGTTTGAGACAGGTTGAGGGTCATGATTAAAACAGCAGTGCAATGACCGTGACAACAATGGACAAGATATGTATTCCTGGCCTTAATTTGTTGCAAGGTATCACTGTAAAAGCTATGTTATTGATTAAAGCAGGAGTCAAATTTTACTACTGTTACAGAAAAATTATTCAATCACAGCTACAGCAAAAAATTGTGAAAATGGGGAAAACGCAAGAATTTTTATTGGAAGAGTCAAAACCCAGCACTGCTTCCAATTGACGGGGAAGCTAGAGAAGTCATGAGGTCCAGCACCAGAATAAATGTAAACTGTATGTGAGATGTAATGAGTGTCAATAAGTAGAAAAATGTTTCATTGTGTTATTAAACAAGCAATAGCAAAAATGTAAAAATATCCCTCGTGAATATATAAAAATTCTAGCTAACCTCTTGTGGTAGTTGATATGGGGAGTTAAAACTATTGGGCACATTTCAAATCAGGCAGGATTACAGGGTTGGAAGGCAGCTGTATGCCCACTCTTATCTCTATCTCAATCACCTCAAAATTTAATCACATGGCTATCCACAACTCATCTAATTTATTCGGAGATCCAAGGAGGAATTCTATTCCAGCACACTGAAACTCCTTTGGATCACATCTGTTTCGGGGTACTAAGGAATGCAAGACAATCTACTTGCAGAAAGCTTTAATCTTAAGAATTTCTATCAGTCTCAAATACTGATCTTCAGACCGTCCCGGTTCAAGTTTCACCTGCTCCAGGAGGTATGTCAAAATATGTCTGAACAAGTCAATTAAAAACAGAAATCAGATACTGCGTTTCACATAATACTGAGTTGAAGCCCCACTTAGAATGGTTTTAGCCAAGGTGGTAGTGTCCCTACTTCTAGGTCAGAAGTTCAAATCCCACCAGCCATGCAAATGTGTCATAACTTGTCTGAGCAGGTTGGTTTAAAAACTTCAAACACCAATATCAACTCTAAATTGATGATCAGCAAGCAGATAATGTGGGATTACTGACTTGCCTTTTGAACCTCTTATTTAAACAAATAACCTTTCTACTAATTATTTACCATTCAATTCTAATTAATAAACAATTGTCAGTTTAGGATGTTATCTGATTTCCTTTTTAACATGTTACTTAGTTGTGTGGCAAATTCTGTGGATCCCAAAGGAAGCATTTTTTAAAAATGCTATTCTAATCCAAGCAGGTTGGTACAAGTCAGTTCAGCAAGCCACAGTTAACTATCAATAATTCTTAGGTATAGATGGGAAAGGGAAACGTGTTCAAGTCAAAATGTGCGAGAAAAAGGCCATCGTATATGTGGGTTGTGTGAGCACAATTACCCAGCTAAGGATTCTATACACATGTGAAATAAAACAAGTGAGGTGGGAGCTTAAATTCAGTGGAAAGGATATGATAGAAACGACCATACATAAAGTCATACTACCCGGAAACAGACCTTCGGTGCAACTTATTTGTACTGACCAGACATGCCAATCTGATCTAGTCCCATTTGCCAGCATTTGGCTCATATCCCTCTAAAGCCTTCCTACTCATTTACCCATCCAGATGCATTTCAAATGTTGCAATTGTATCTGCCTCCACCACTTCTTCAGGCAGCTCGTTCCAAACATGTACTATCCTCTGTGTGAAAAAGTTACCCCTCACATCCTTTTTAAATCCTTCCCCTGTCACCTTAAACTTATACTGTCTAGTTTTGGACTCCCTCACCCTAGGAAAAAGACTTTGGCTATTCACCCTATCCATGCCCCTCATGATTTTATAAAACCTCTATAAAGGTCACCTCTCAGTATCTGACAGTCCAGTGAAAAAAGCCCCAGCCTATTCAGCCTCTCCCTAAAGCTTAAATCCTTCAGTCCCGGCAAAATCCTTATAAATTTTTCCTGCACCCTCTGGAGTTTAACAATATCATTCCTATAGAAGAGCGACCAGAATTGTACACAGTGTTCTAAAAGTGGTCTCATCAATATCCTGTACAGCCGCAACATGATGCCCCAACTCCTATATTCGATATTCTGACCAATGAATGGTTAGGCCTCTTCATGTGCCATTTTGACTATCCAACAGATGTAGATGAATAACCCCACGACCTCATCCATTATATATCTACAATAATGGTCTGAAGAAGGATTAGGGCCAAGAAACAAGCATGCTATCATTGGGGGAACTTTTAGTTCTCATCTGCCTCCATTCCTGACCAAGCAGGGGATCAAAATCCTGCTTTAAGAATCTACAGGATGTACTATATATATATGGGAGGGGGTAGGGGAAGGAATGTACTTTGTAAATATCATACAATTCCATTTTTTAAAAAAAGACTCTTTAGCACGAACGTTCTGCTTTGGTGAGCTCATATTCCGGGACACCAAAGCTTCTTCAGCAAATTGATATCCGAGATTCAACCCAGAGTAGGATGAACCTTTCTCTTGACTTTCAATTTGTTCAACTTTATGTATGTCATTCGCTGCTACAAAATTGCTGATGTTTTTAAGAAAGAACCTGAATACTCAATCCCTAGGCAATAGGATTGTTAAAAAAGAATCCGGGAATTTTGGAAACAATGGGCAGTAGCATTGACAAAAGAAACAATTATCACTGTAGAACTGAGAGATTTCAGAATGGGTGAACAGGCAAATAAAACACTACAAATTAAACAACATAAAGGATGCAAGGTACTAGTAGGAATTGTCTGCAAATCAAACCAACAAAAAAA